CTGCTTTATCGTGTCTCACGGTGTTGTCGCTTGCAGATTTACTTATACTTTTTCTTCAACCCTGAAGATGGGGGCGATACGTTCCTCCGAAACGTCGGTTAACACCACATATACACGGTGCCAAATCCCAGAAGACTGCATTCTTCATAGTCACCGCCGTGAAAGCCTCAAATCTTACATGTTGCAATTCATTTGACATTCCTCTTGTATGACTATCGCCAAAAATTAAAACTCTCCTACCATTATTCCTACACATCTTCTTGATAACCATTTTATCATGCAAACACTGATGCTGTCGATCACGAGATTCATCTTCATACACTTCCTCTTGATTCACCAATAATTCATATCTATTATCGATGACTGGAATCGTATACACATCACGCTGCTGGGTGTCCTTTGCGGATTTTTCTTTCTTCGCTTTCATCACTTCCACCATACCCGAATTATCCTCTTCACTTCTTGTATAATCCTCAACCATGCAGTCCATTTTTTTAAAATCATAATGTTATCATACTGAAAATTTAGAATCTGCGATAAGTTGAATGGAGAATAAGTAGTGCTATTAGTATTTAAACTATTATTACTCTTAATTTTACCAGAGATACTTTCAGCAATTTTTAAAAAGTGATCGTTGAAATTCTCAGCATTAATTTTTATGGAAGCTTCTTCACAATTTGTGTCTATATCTCGTTTATCAGTTTTGTTGTTATTTACTCCCATATCACTTTTTATAACATTCCATGTTGCTTTAATCTTATTGTGAGCATAGATAATTTTATTATTATAGTTCAACTTTTTGGCAGCTTTTATTATTTTTGATAAGATCTTACTATACCTTAAATAGTAATTTCTCAGTTTCTCATCATTATTAGACCTCATTAACAAGTATAGCTCCTTTTTCCTTTTGCAAGAATTTATTATGCCTTTTGTTATCCATTGATTAGTTGACTTTCTTTCATAGACTTTTATTTTAGGGAAACATGAATAAAAAATCTGCAGGTATGTATTCAAAAAAGAATTAAAAATATCATTCACATCTTTGTTGGTGTTATCAAATATGGTTTGCCATTGCTCCTCACTCAGCTTATCTTTAAATTCCATTATAGAATATGAGTCAATTTTCCTTATAATTCTAACTTTATGATTTACTCTTTTACAATTTAATTTACGTGTATATATTTCTAACATCTGGGCGTCGTGATCTGATAAGCCGTTTGATAATGAGGAGGTTACAAAGTTTACAAATTTGGTAGAATCAAGGAAAATATTATCAATGGTAGTTTTTGAATTGCTAGTAATTCTTGTGGGAAAATGAATTATACTTACAAGATTGTATGAATTTAATACATTATTTAATTCATTTTTTTTTTAGATTCATTAAGGTAATTTATATTTATATCCCCACAGATTATTAGATGGATACCTGATTTGTAAACGTTTTTAAGAATATTTTCTAAGCCATTTAAAAAGAACTGGAAATTTCCACTAGGTGATCTATACACAGTAATAATACAAACATTTATGGATGATAATTTCAATTTTAAAGCACATGCTTCTAGTTCCTTTTCTTTACAATGTCTTGCTATATTTATTACTGAGAAGGAAAACCGCTTATGAATATACATACATACTCCTCCTTTATGGAAGGATTGTCTGCAAAATTCAGCACCAAGACTATACTCCTCCAGTGAAATAAGCTGAATTTGTATTGAACTTAAATGATGTTCGGATATACACAAGATATCTGGTAAATCTGGATGCAAGGAAGCCAGTAACTCATCAATTTTAAATTCTAGACCGCAAATGTTTTGATGATAAATTTTTAAAAATTGTTTAAGGTTTTCGCTGTTTACTAATGAATTGATTTTTCCATCTTGGGTAATTTTTTTAACAATCTTTAGTTTGTGTGAAAATCTTATTAGAATTATTGCTACCATTCTGGTTTACATTGACCATAAAAAATCATTCTGTTTTACAGATGTTGAATTTTTTATCCTATTTGATTGACGAGTTGATCCTAATTTAGGCATCACCTTAACCGATTTTTCGTTATTTATTTTACCATTTAAGCCCTGAGTTACTTTGAGTTCAGAGACATTCGTCTTTTCTATGTTCTTAGACCTACTGTTTCCTTTGTCGCCTATCTCCAGAGGTGAAGATCCGATTAGTTCCGTTAAATTCAAAACTTCTTTGTTCTCCTTGTCAGAACTATTCAAATTATCTTCATCCATTTTTTCACTAGGACCATAAATACTTTCTGGCTCAACACACTTAGAGTTATCTTCATCCATATCAGAGTTTTTGTCTTGTTCCCTTATCCTTACTGGTGGTGATCCAACTATTTCAATTAAGTCAATTAACTCTTCATTGTCCTCACTGAGCACTTTTGAATCAGGAACACTGCAATATGCTTCCTTTTTTGACAGGCTTACATTCTGATCCCTTGGTTTTTTCATCACTGACTCATTTTTCTTTTCATATTCCATGTGGCCATTTTCAGTTTCCTTTATCCAAGGTAGAGGAGTAGCTGGCGAAGTTTGTAATCTTGATAAAATGAGTAAGATGCTAGAGGCCCATTTATTTGTAATCCAAAGTTTGCCTTTAAAATTCATATGCAAACCATGAGAGGTAAAATGTTCTCTATTTTCACTTATACTACAGACATGTTCATGACCAAAAGTTTTCATTTGCTTCTGTAACTTTCTGTTAAACAATTTTACTGCCTTATTAACACATGATTCAGCTTGGAGATCAGAGCGATGGGGAACACATGTTATAATGACATTGGTTTTAGTTAAAAGTCTGATAAGTTTCACAGTAGATCTTAACCCTTCCTTGGTTTCATTCCTAGCTACATCCCTTGCACCACCCCAGATAATCACCACGTCTCTTTTGGAAAGTTTTTCAGCCTTTATGTACTTATAATCAGTAATGTTACTCACATTCATGTTAGGTTTCGAAATCCCAATAACACTGAATTCATTTCCTAAGATGCTTGCCAATTTTTCAGAATAACCTTTCACATGGCTGTCACCCAGAATAATAATTTTATGTTTATTTAAATCATCACTTGCTGGCCCCAATAATGGTTTAGACTTGATTATATCACCATCATGCTGAGAGGCCGAGTCTTGATAGTCACTTATGGGTTGAAATCTATTTTCAGCTAATGGAGTGTATGCAGTGAGATGCTTATAATTATTATTATTATTATTATTATTATTATTATTATTGTAATTATTAGAAAACTACAGCCTATAGTAAGTAGGCAAGTGTTGAAAATGGCTTATTGTGCTTACTGTCAAGCTCAACTTAAATGTGGTGTTATTTTCTGGGGCTCTTCTTTGTCATCAATGAAAAGAGTTATTGTGGCTCAGAAAATAGCAATTAGAGCAATGTTAATGATGAGGCCTAGAAGTTCTTGTAGAGAGGTTTTCAGAGAATTAGGGATACTTGCAGTTCCCTGTTTGTTTATATATGCCATGGTCATGTTTGTAATTGAAAACGAAAATAATTATCTTACAAATAATAGTGTACATAAAATTAACACTAGAGTACAAACTAGACTACACGTCACAACAGCTAGACTATCCATTATACAAAAGGGAGTGTATTATACATCCATAAAAATTGTTAATAATTTGCCACATAAATTATATATTTTAAAGGATAATGTTAATTTATTTAAATGAAAACTGAAAGACTTTCTTATCTTGAAAGCTTTCTGTTCTATTGATGAATATATGGCAAATGCCTAATTGTATTATATTCCTATTGTATCTAGGTTGTGTCTATTTGGACTTGGTTGCATATCGCAACTACTATTAATTAATCTGACGAGCTCAATATCTGGCCCAATACAGGCAACCCGTCTGTGTGTATGTATGTATATAATCCAGATTTGTAAGGTTGCAAATAATATTTGAAAACCTCAGTGTTATTGCCTGTTATACATAATTTATAGTACATTAATGTAACTGGAAAACTATGTTTTGTGTAGCTTTCCAGTGTAAGTTGTGAACATAGTTATGAGGTTGAATGCAAATATCTCTGATGGAAACAGACATTTCATTCAAGTTTACCCAACTTCACCTTTACCAGACACTTATGAATATGTCTTATATTCATGGAGTAGTTCATAATGTCCACTACATTTCAGTAAGGGTATGTTGGATTGATGCAAATGAAATAGCACTGCTGAGAAACTTTCTCCTGTTAGATGAGTGAAGTGATGTTAAACATTTGTAAAGCTGGAGTAAGAACCACTGCAGTACAAGAGCTTAGGATAGAAAAATTATTCTTTGTTCTGTGATATCTGGAATCATGACGGCTAGTACGCACAGGATAGTAATGTGGACAACAGCTAGACGTTTTACTAAGGTCTAGGCACTGTGGCAATTTTTCACAGATAACCTGAATGCTGAGGGTGCATGGATTGGATTAATGTGGCTCAGGATAGGGACAAGTCATGTGAAAACGGTAATGAACCTTCGGGTTCCATAAAATGCTGGGAAATTCTTGAGTAGCTGCAAAATTGGCGGCTCCTAGAGAAGGGCTTAGCTCCATGAGTAAGTAATGTCAATATTGAATGTAGATGGCAGTGTAATACATTTGGTAGCGTCATAGCCATCATAGCATTTGCAGGGACCAAGTCTTGATTTAGTTGCACAGGGCAGATAGAATGTCGACTAAATCTCTTCTATCACTAGGTTGCGATAGTTGCAGTCGGCATATGGCGAGGTAAATAAACGGTTGGAATGAACGTATGTTACTGATATTGGAATTTCTGTTTTAGCGTAAGAAAGCTAATTATAAGAAATGAGTAGTCCACGGCAAAATGAAATGGAAGTCGATGACATCGCCGTTGCCGTCAATAAAAGTGTTATGGCCTCTTCAGGCACTGTTGGCAGTGTATCCATATCATTGCACCCTTTGGTCATAATGAACATTTCAGAACACTGGACACGACTGCGTGCACAGGAGGGAACTCCCCAACAAGGTAACTTAGTATTCTGAGCAGTTTTGTGAATTTGGGACGATATTTGTTACCTTTTGTCACCATTGTGCAGTATGTGATTTCACTGTAATTCCTCTCTTTCCTCATGTTTTTTTTTAATTCTATTATCTATGTTAATTGACTAATGTATGTGATTTTAATTATATAACTTATGTAATTTATTATATGTATCTGAACACATCTATTATCAAAGGGACTATTTCCACATCCTAGGTTTTTACCCGTATGGATATATGGAAAATAAAGGAAATGAATGAATGAAATATTTCACCATCACAACGGTTAGTAACTTTACGAAATGCAGCCCGTAATTTATAATACAAGGAAAATCATTACAGTTAGTATTTACAGTATTTGTGAATCTTTTTTGTAGTATTGATTTTATTTCGAATATAAATTGGATTTATAAATTGTTGGTTGAAACCTAGAAGGAGAACTAAGTAATCAGAAATTGACCTGGAAATTTCATGGTTAGGTATCCATACCATGTTTTGCACCATAACCCTACTGAGACAGGCAAAACTCAGTACCAAATTCTACTCCTGCCAGGTTGTTCCCTGGGAGAGTTTGCCTGTTTGTTACCCCAGTTCCATGTCCAGCCATGAAATATATTTGGGAGAAATTAGTAAGTACAGAGGGAATGTTTAAAATGTTTATATAGTTTTTTAAAAGCATTTGTATTAATTATTTGTTAGCATTTCAGATAGGGTAGCGCAGTCAGTTTGGCGACTGCCTACAAGCTGGACGACTGAGGGGTTGGAGTTAGAATCCTGGTAGGGTCAGAATTTTCTCTTCTCCATATTGTCCATACCGTATCTGGGGCCCACCCAGTCTCCTATCCAACGGGTACTGTGGGCTCTTTCCCTGGGGTTAAAGCAGCAGGGGCATGAAGCTGACCACTCACCTCCAGCAAGTGCTGAGGTCAAAATGTGGATCTGTACATCCACCCCCCATACGCCTTCATGGTGTAGTGCTTAATTAGTTAAGCGCAGGGACAACTTTACCTTTACTTAGCATTCTGGATATTGATGTAGAACTATTTCAGTCCAGTGCCATTTGCATAATACTTTAAAACAATTGGAAATCCCACCAGTGTTTCTAGCCAAACATTTGCAGTCCACTGGTAGGGCAGCTACCTGTAAAACTTGACAAGGTCAGTGTACCAGCATTTCCTTCAGCGCTGATGTAACAGTTGCCCCCTGTTATCCTGGGAATCGGAGCCTCTTCATTTAAAGCAGGGTGTGCCATGGGAAGATGAGGTTGACATTTGAGTAGGAGGGGGTACAGGAAAAACATCCTACCTCATAGACTGTGAGAAGAGCTTTTAAATGAAGGAAGGGTTCATTTTGTAATATCCATACAGGTCATAGTAAGCCTCATACTAGAGAGGATGATTACATACATACATAATTCATAAATTCACTGATCCGTTGTCTGAATTGGACAGGATACTGAACTCGTCAAAATAAGACATTATTGCAGAAGTACAAAGGAAGGGTTCATTTTGTAATATCCATACAGGTCATAGTAAGCCTCATACTAGAGAGGATGATTACATACATACATAATTCATAAATTCACTGATCCGTTGTCTGAATTGGACAGGATACTGAACTCGTCAAAATAAGACATTATTGCAGAAGTACAAAGGAAGGGTTCATTTTGTAATATCCATACAGGTCATAGTAAGCCTCATACTAGAGAGGATGATTACATACATACATAATTCATAAATTCACTGATCCGTTGTCTGAATTGGACAGGATACTGAACTCGTCAAAATAAGACATTATTGCAGAAGTACAATCGTGTCAACCGCAAACAACTATACACAACCAAAAGCACCAAATAACCATAGTTTACATTGTCATTCGTAAACAAAATTGCAAGGAATATAGTTATTAAATGTTATACGTGCTTAGCAGAAATATATTCATCTATTGAATAAAAAGCATTTGTTGTGAGGAACCTTTTCAGTGTGCATTTAAAAATCTTGACATTATCACTCATCCTTTGTGTATTTTGAGGAAGATTATTATAAACCATAATGGATGAATATAACATGCCTCTCTGGATTGAAGATAATCTCACTGATGACACATGTAGCTTTCCAAACTGTCTAGTGTTTATATGATGAATATTATTGTTGATTTGAAAAAAAATTGCGATTTCTAACAACAAACATCAATATAGAACATAGAGGCTAGGAGCCGTCAAAATACCCAACCTCTTAAAACCTTCCCTAGACGAGTTTCTAGGACTCAATCTCAGCATAACCCTAATCGCTCTTTTTTGGGCAACAAATGAACTTTCCATAACTGGAGAAGAACCCCAGAATATAACACTATATTCAAGCTGAGACTGATAATAAGAAAAATAGACCATTCAAAGAGCTTGTTCACTAACAAGGTCTGTAACTTCCTGAGCATAAAACCTGCTGTATTCAGTTTCTTTAATGATTTTTCAGATTGTTTTTTCGAATTAAGTTGTCACTCTAAATACGTATCTAAAAAATTAATATTATCAACATCTTTAAGTCTAAAATTATTATATGTTACCGATAATGTATACTCTGGAAACTTAGGAGTCACAAATTTAATCAGGTGAGTTTTACTCAAATACCAGATTGTTATTTTGAAACCAGCTTGAAACCCTAGTCATAACTCTATTTAATTTAATATTCAAAGAGTTTAGGTCATTTGAGGTAATTGAAATTGTTGTGTCATCTGCACACAAAATAGTATGTGCTGTTTCCTTAAGAGTACCTGTGAAATCATGAATATAAACATTAAGGAACATTGGTTCCAGGACAGATCCCTGAGGAACACAAACTTTACAGATTTCCATTCAGAGATTGTAGTAGTCAGATTACAAGAGTGCAGCACAACTCTTTGCATTATATTTTTTAAATAAGTCTCCAACCATTTCAAAATAGGCCCTTTGACCTATGGGAACTCCCCACATTCAGGCAAGTGTGACAACGCAAGCGTCGTTGCTTAGCAACGACGAGTAAACAACGGTTGCTAGGCAAAAGCGGGTAAACAGGGAACTTGTAAACACGGTGTCCAGCAACAGCAGTGCCTATTACGTAACCGTTTTCTACAGTCCAACTGTGAGATGACATGGCAGAACTTGATCCACTCGCTGTTAATGCCGGCCAAGGTGAATTGCGCCTCGGCCTGGGTGAACCACATGGCTGGTCTCTCGGGCCAGAACGGCGGGAGACGCACGGCCATTCTGGGCACTTCTGCTGATGAACTGTCTGCGGTTTCCATGTTCAGTCGGGGTCACCAATGTGGGAGTCGTTGATCTTCACCACGCGCGCTTCCAATCACGTTTGGTGATTCAACTTTTGAATCAACAGATCATGACTGACACAATCAAAGGCCTTTGTCAGATCACAAAAAATACATCCCACAAACTCCTTATTGTTCCATGCTTTAAGAACAGTATCAGTTAGATTAAAGACTGCGGTTTGTGTAGAAACATCCTTACGAAAGCCATACTGCTCAGGAGCCAGGATTTCATTTCTTATAAAATGATGTTTGAGCCTGCTAAACACTAATATTTCAAATAATTTAGAGAAACTTGTCAATAAAGATATTGGTCTATAGTTGGCAATTTCAGTAACATCACCTTTCTTAAAACATGGTATAATATTTGCATATGACTGAACTTACAGAAAGATTATAAATATAAGTAAGTGGTTTTGCTATCTGTTCACCACATAATTTAATAATTTTATTTGACATCCCATCATATCCACAAGAAAATCTATTTTTTAATGAATTTATCGTGCGTAATACTTCTGCCTCAGTAATTGGAATATTTACAATTTCAGAAATCTTATCTGTAGAGTACTCACATGAAAGTGGTAAAAAACATACATTATTAGAACACTGACCAACTAGTTTGTGAACTGAACTAAAAAAATATGAGTTAAATGCCTTAGCTTCATTCCTATTATCAATTATTACATTACCTTCTCTCAGTTCCAAGTGTAAATGTTTTTGTTCAACTCTCTACCATTTTCTCTCTTTATGATTTTCCAGGACTCCTTTGATTTATTAGATGCAGCCATTATTATTCCCTCGTAATATATAGCTTTAGCTCTTCTGATAACTTTTCGCAGCAACGTACAATATCGAGGATAATACTCCTTTAAGCCTGGGTAGTTAGTAGATCTAATCATCAAATACAAATACATTTTTCGCTTACATGAAATTTTAATTCCTTTAGTGATCCACTGGTTATAGTACACATTATTTTTGACAAATTTCGCTGGAAAACATGTTTCAAAAATCATTAAAAAGATATTAAAAATAGATTAAAACTTTTGTTAGCATCAAGATTACGTAAAACACTTTCCCAGGTTTCCCTACTCAACATCTCACTAAAAGTTATGGTGCCAGACTCAGATATATCTCTTCTGTTAACTGATCCACTCTCATTCCTGTGGCGGTTCACAACATTACTAACAGTCACATACTGAGCATCCTGATCTGAAAGCCCAGTGATTACTGAGTACACCTATAAAGTATTTAATCTGCTGTAATCCAAATATACATGTATACTATCAATAGCAGTACTGGTATCAGTTGTAATCCTAGTAGGAAATCTGACAACCCGAAACAGGTTGTATATCTGAAATAGTGAAATAAGCTGAAGAGATTTACTTGTATTCTCTAAGAAATTTACATTAAAGTCTCCACATATTATTAATTGAAGTTTAGGCTTGTAAACTGATTTCAGTATTAGCTTGAATTGCTTAATAAATTCCTCTACATTTCCACAAGGAGATCTGTAAATACATAGTATTATAAAATAATTATTACCAATATTTAATTGGACTGCACACGCCTCAATCACCTTTTCCGTGTGTTATATCAATTGGATTACAGTCCATATCCATTGTACAGTATATACAAACACCTCCACCATTACTTAATGGTCGTGAGAATTGGGAGGTTAAACAATAATTTTCTGGTTTGATCAGTAAAAGTTTCTGCTCAGTTAAGTAATGTTCAGTTATACAAATTACATGTGGGCTTAAGTCACAACTAATTAACATACAAATCAGTTCATAAATTTTATGTTGTAGACCTCTAATATTTTGGTGAAATGAATTAAAAGAGCTTATCATAGTATCCTTAAGTTTAATCTTTGGTGCTTGACTAAGGTCACAACTACTGCATGGGGTCTTCAAATTCATTACATTTTGAGGCATTACCATAAAAAATCATCACCCATATTTACTTGTCGTCTTCTAACTCTCTTACCCAGCACCGGGGAGATCATTCGTTCATTGATGATGGTGATGATGAATTGTTTGAATGGAATACTGTATAACTGTTGAAGACAAATCATGCCAGCTTCTGATGTGCCATTCCTGGCACTCGGAAGTCGTGTCTGTTTGAGACATCAGATCCTCTACTCTTCTTCTGTTCCTGTTGCTTCCACTTGGAGCTCAGGGCATCCGTGAAACACATTTCACTTCAGGATCTTACTCTTAGGTAGTCCATAGGACTCCTTGGATGGGGGATCAGCCCATTGCAAGGTTGCTACTTAACACAAACACAAATCCATGCCTTGAGTGGCTTTCGAACCCATGATGCCAGTGTTCGAGGGAGTGAAGATGTTTCATTCCTTAGACTGTGTGGCCACTGTGATGAGTACTTTCGATAATAATTTACATTCATGTGGTATGGGGCAGGCAAATCTTTTCCCCCAATCATCTCATTTAATGGATTTTATTTCACTTGTTCTTAGTGATTGGTGCTTTAATTGGGAAGCAGAAAGGGCGTAACCTTGAGATAATGAATTCGTTTGAGCTGCTATTTAGCTGTATTGGAGGCGATACAATCATCGATAGAGATTATTACAACACGAAGGAGGAACAGTGTAAGTAACTGAAAATAACATATAAATAAATGTGTATAGAATCATATCAAGCATTAAATTAGCTGATCTCTGTGCAGAATGTGCTCAGAATAAAACCAATGTTGTCATCATTCAGTCAAACAGGTGTTCAGTGACATGGATTTCCTGGGGTGGTACACAACAGGGGACCACCCTAACGACGGAGATATCAAGATTCATAAACAGATATGCGAGATCAACGAGAGCCCGGTCCTCCTCAAACTTAACCCACAGGCTAGGCATAGCGATGTGAGTAATGCATATGGATGGAAAGTAAATACATAGCTATGCTTAATTAAGCCCAGCACCATGAAGACGTATGGGGGAGTTGAGGTATAGTTCAGTGCATGCTTAACCTTGGCCATAGATGGAGGCGAGTGGTCAGCTTCACGCCTCAGCTGTTTTACCCTAGAGCTGCTCTTGTTGCTGTGGAGACGAGAACATTTTCTGCCTGTCTGCCACCTGCCCTCTATAAACAGAACCCCGATTCATTGGTCATGCAGCCCATAGCCTAGTGTTTATGTCGAGTGATATATGCCAGCTGCAGATACATTATTTTCAATGGACAGAATGCATGAATCAAAGAAGAGGGTGCCAGTCGCTGAAGGCAGAGCTGTCAGGACCGTGTGACAACATTACTTTTAAAATAGGCCGCAGCCATTTCCTGTCACATCCTTCACAACTAATTGCTAATAAAAGCCCTGTAATTTGAAGTTTGCTGTCTGGGATGTGACGCCAGGTAGCCTCATAGATTAGAACCTGCTGGCTCTGTCACAGGGTAGAAGTGTAAACTAAGTGTGGGAGGAATAATATGTATATAGTGGGACAGAGAATGAACGCAATGTCTCTGAGTGAACCTGTTGGTTTGCAGTAGTTCTGATATCACTGCTACGAGAACACCACTCAGAGTAATGTGACAACTTCTTGTCATTAGCTGCCTGTGACAATGTACGAGTCTGTGATTGACCTTGTGGTGGGGCAGGCCACCATGCTCTTTGTGGAATTGCACTACACCCTTGCAACTGAAGAAGCTGAAAGGATTGGTGTTGATCATGTGGCTCGCATGTCCAGCAATGAAGCGGGCGAGAGTTCTCTAGGTGAGTTAATTGTTTATGATTCAAAACTTCCATGGGGAACAAGCACAATGGAGTCTCATCACGTGATCAGCCTTGTCAAGATGGAATGAATTTCTGTCAAAACTTTGGCTCAACGTGTCATGAGTCCATACCCCCCTGTTCTTGCACTGTGTGATATGTATCGCTATTTATGAATGAAGGACTTCTTACTTTTCAAGTTACATATATCAGATGGATTTTTATTTTTGTTATGGATATGAAAGCGATGTTAGTTTTGAAGTTTCTGTGTGGTTTGTCTGATGGGCTTCATGCAAAACTGGCACCAAAATTAGGGGATTTCTTTTCCTAGCATTAAGAAGCCAATCACTATATGTACCAGTGATTCCTGATTTGGAGGAAGGCAGGTTATTATGAGGGGATTGCTGAAAGAGGATGTCATGAGGCCATGAGGGGGGAAAAATCAAATGTCAAAGCCAGCTGAAATACTCATTTGTTGGCATTTAATCGTCTCTTCCGTAAGCGTTCGTCAAAATTGTTAATCCAGAAAGCAGTAAGAAAATTTATTTTAATTTTGAAATTTTACTCACATTTCTAGTGTTGAACTGATTACGAGTTATGCGGAAATGAACCGTAGTATAAATTTGAGTGTAAACTATTACTTTTGTTTTGATCACAAGAAAATGTGTGAGGTAGGGAGTGTTGTAACAAGAAGCTTGGGAACAGCTCATCTGTACAGTAAATCTCAATGACACTGTGTCCGATTATGGTAACACAGTTTGGCAACAGGGTGCTGCATGCAGGCCAGTAGGTTACTTTACCAGCAGTGGTCTTTCTGTCATCAGCTCTCATAATTTTAATGAAAAATGTTTATTTAAAGAAACTTCTTGAAACCTGCATTTTGTATTTTTTTTTGTAAACTGAATCTTATGGTTGGATTCTGAGGGTGCAAAGCAGAGCTGATATCTTACAGCATCACTAAATTCATCATTTTTATTTTTTTTTAGTTTTCTTTTCAGGAAAACTGTATCTTCAAGTTTTATACATAATTTTCATTTTAATGCATATCTTCTTTTTCTGATTTTGAATTCTCTCTCTCCCTTCCCCTCCCCCCCCAACCTTTGATTCTCTTTTCACTTCAAAAATATCTTGACCTATATCAAACAGACATATCCTTTTTTCCAAATCTTATGGAGGAACATCCCAGCTTGTTGCAACACAATGTTGATTCTTCCCTGCTGATGCTGACTGCTGTTCCCCAGTGGCAGAGCATCTGACAGCGCAGCATTCTGCCATCAAGATGCTCCACAGTCGTGTGAAACTGGTACTGCAGTACGTAAGGGCTGTGCAGGCAGGGGAGTTGCCCAGAAATCATGAAATCCTCCGAGAAGCATACAGCTTAAGCCATCGACTCCCTGTACTGCAGAGCTCTCGCTTCAGGGCTGACTTCTACAACGTGAGTCTATTTAGTACGTGCTTCGGCTTATTTTGTTTGGAGCTAATCAAGTTGGCTCAGGTGGCAATAACTCTGACATGTGTTCAGTGGGTGCGTGGTTTGAATCTTGTCTGAGACACCACCTATCATGATTGATGTTTTCCATATCTTTCCTCTATCCCCTCAGGGAAATGCTTTGATAGTAACTTGGGATAGTCCATGGCCACTTCCTTCCACATTCTTTCCAATTCATTACTCATTATCAACCTTCTTGCGTTTTGAAGTTATATAGTCAGAACTACTGAAAGATTCATTAAAGTAAAGTAAAGTAAAGTAAAGTAAGTAAAGCTATCTCTGTAACAGGCTGTGTAGGCCCATAGAGTTGTGAGATGTTGAGGTTCCCACATTTTTTAAACAATCCACTCATAGCTGGCGGTAAGGTTGTCAGCCTTATGCGCTGGCCGCCCTTTACCCCCGGAAGATTCCTGGTACCCAATTCTGTTAGAGGCTGAGTCGAGCCCAGGGCCATAGTGCAGCTGGAAGGATTAAGTCAATTGAAAAAAATCCAATTACCTCATTGGTATTTGAACCCATGACCTTCCAGCTTGTAGCATAGTGCCTCAACCAGCTACGCTTCCGCGTGCCCCCTGTTTTCCTCTAGTATCTCACAAATGTAAAATATCTGATCTATTACACTGAAAATAACATTGAAAATCCCCCCACTGGTTTCATTTTTGTATGGAATTCTCCTTAAGGATGAATGATGAACATAATTTTACATGTAGTTGAAAACAGTGACATCTGCAATAGTTACAGTACTACAGTCAGATTTACTGAAAGATTCATTAAATAAATGACAAAACATACATATATATTCTGTGAACTTTTTGTGTACTGTAGTGATATTTAAGGTATTATGTTAGATCTGCTTTGCCAAGAACTCTGGGTCTGATGTTGCAGTACCGGGCATACACAGCTGCTTCATATTCATGGGCACCAACTGCTCCCACTGCAGCTTTTTATCATTTTCTGTGATCCCTCCAAGCAGAAACAAGGACAGTATCTTAAAATTTGTGTTCCATATCCTTCACAGTTACTACCATCCAGTCATTCAATGCAATATAGTCTAAGTTGCTGAAAGCACTGTTAAATACACTACAAATGCAAGGTAAGAATGTGAAAGATCCGAAGCTGCAACATTGTAAGCAGGTTCATGTAGCGATAATGTACTTGGCTTGTATTTGGAAGATGCTCAGTTCAGACCTTGGCCATGAAATTGAATTTTTGGCAGGTTTTTCATGGTTCTCCGGCATAATACCTCGAATAGATCATGACAGCTTCCTTCTAGATCCTTTCCTATTGATATATCATCCTGCTTTTCACTCTTATGCAGTCTGGCTGCTGAGAGCATCGTAAAACAAGCCACAGAAGAAAACCTGCATGAGCAGCTGGATTCAAGTTGCATGTTGTGCACTGTTTGAAGGCTTAAGGCTTCATATTCTGATTACAGCAATGCAATGATGTGGGCCTCATGACGTACTTGGGAACCATCACCAAAGGCTGCAACGATATCAACCAGTTTGTAAATAAGTTCAACATTCTGTATGACCGACAGGGAATGGGACGACGTATGAGGGGTCTGTTTTTCTGAACTGCTGCGTTTGATTTGTATGAGAGATTGCTGAACGAGAGGCCTGTATAGCTGGACACATTTGAAGTGACTTCGTAAGAGTAAACTGAAGTTCTAGGGTACAGAAGGTGCATTAAGAAAATGGTTTCATATGGTATGGCATCTACTGGGCTGCCTGCTGTGTGGTGGTCATTCGGTTTGTAGAAATTTTCTAAGTAATGTGCTTCTCTGCATAGACAAGAAGCTGTAATTTATATGTACTGTGTATATTGGGACAAATAAAGTTGTTGCAACAGATGCATTTTAAGTTCCTAGTACATGGTTGTTAGTTTTTAAATGAAAATCAAATCAGTTAAATCTCTAATTTACAGGGATGTGTAATGCTAATAAAACGCTGGCAAAACAGTAATAACAGAAGAAGGAAAAATTCATTAAGAAGAAGTCATAATTCTGGAACACATTGAGTTCTTTCTTACCCTTTGCTGGAAGAAGACTTCATCACTGTAAATTTTCCATACATGTCCACAGCTGAAAGCCTTCAGCCACCAGCTTTAGAGTGTATCTCCTAGTTATGATTGTGTGCTAAGTATGCTAGTAGTATGCATATAAGAACAACAGATGGCAGCTACTTTATATTTTTTAAACAGCCTGTATGCAAGTTATGTTTGTGTCATTTGCCCATTGTACCTGTTAGGAATCATGAAAGAAATAAGAATGATGGAGAAAGGTTAATATATAATGTAACAGTTCTGAAAAATAAAAAGAAATCCAAGAACAAAGTATGATTGTGAGTCTTGGATGTTAATATGGTTGTAAATAAATAATCTTCATTTGTGTTTAAAGTGTCAACAGATTTTAATTCTGTTTCAATACAAAGAAATAAATAACAATAATATCAACAACAGTCCACAAAAAATCCCAACAAAATATGTTTTTAAGGATTTGTAAACAATAACAGGACTAGATACTAAGAGGGACACAACGGGCTTGCTTAATGATGCAGCAGTGTCATCAGGGGGAGCTTGTGGAAGACTTTGTGCTCCTTGCTGCTCAGTGAGATGTCTCTGACAGGGTAACAGTGAAATGCTTACATGCTGCCTCCATCTGAAGAACAGATTTACTTATGCCCTGAAGATGGAGGTGATATGTTGCTCCGAAACCTCATTACTCACCAGACTATACACTGTCATTCCCCAGAACACCACGATCTAAAAATTTGGTGCAAAGGTGTTTCATGTTCACACACATTTTCTCACTTATGATTCATCTTGACTACAATACCACGAATGTTGCTCAATAGACCAAACAACAATGAAGTCCATCTGACTGGTGAAACCAGTTTTGACAAAATTGACATTTTGTGCTTAGATCCATAGTATGTATACTGTTATTTTCCTGAAGATCCCTCCTGTACAGTCTTATTTAGTGATATGGTCTCCATAAGCTGTAAAAAGTTTTTCAGCATTGTTAGAGCCATTTGAAAAAAATTTCCACTTTATTTTTGGGGGAGAACTCATCTGAAGGGCCCCAGTTTTTGGACCTAGAATGTTCACACTCGCTGGGTATCAGTTTATGGCAGATGAACTGTTAATACCAAATACAAATCAAACCTGTCCAACCCTTCAGACACATATATACATATATACACACAGACAGTATTTCAAAAATCTCTTTTCTGTATTCAGTGGGGGGGGGTGCAAAATAAGTAAATCCACCAAAATCTTGAGATCATTTTTTTACACCATCACAGCACTCTTTCACAGACACTGTGTATGTGGGAAAGTAAACCAATTTGTTAAATCTCACCAAAGTGATAAAAGTTTTGTTACTAATGGCTGCCTAGTGTTGAATCAAACTGAGGCCCCAGCTAGTGACTAAACTTGTTACAATATGTTGGCTGATCAGGCCTGTCACACAACTCAGGGCTTCTGATGAATGAGAATTTGTACATGAAAACTTGGAAAGCTTTGTGCTTAGTACTGCAGTCTCAGATGGGCCAAGTATACCAACCCCTGATTATAGTTGAATATATGTCACTGGTAGAATAATAACTGGTGGGGAAACCAAGGTGCTTGGAGAAAAACCTGCACTAATGCTACCTTGTTTACCACAGATTCCTTATGATACACCCAGGGATTGAACCTGGACTTTCATGGTGAGAAACCAGTGATTAACTGCCTGAGTAATGTCATGGTCTTAGCCAGTCACTTAACTGATAGCATGGCAGTTGACAAAGCATGATTAAATGAAGCTAGAATGTTAACAGTGTTTTTCACTAGATCTGGTGAAAGAGTTAAGTTTTGCTCTCTGTGAGTTAGCGGTCAGTTCAGAGAAGGTTTGCTGATAGTAGGAAGAGCTTAATCTGTTCAGAATCTGCATGGTAATCATTGGCAGCTTCACACCTTTTCCTTGTCTACTATTATAACCTTGTTTTCAGATAGAAGAACTAAAGTTTGGATTTGCATACCCAAGCTTACAGATGAGTATGCAGTATTACATACAGTGCTTTTTTTGTTGATTCATAATTGGCTCTTTGTGTGCAACTGTATTTAACAAAACAAGTTGCATGAACTTGTGGGCATGTGGTAGCTTAGTTTGTTGAGGCACTATGCTACAATCAAGTCACTGGATTTTTTGATTGACCTAATCCTTCCAGCTGCACTATGGCCCTGGCATCAACTCAGCCTCTAACATAAATGAGTAAGATGAAGCTTCCTGGGGGTAAAGAGCAGCTGACCTGTAAGGCTGACAACCTCACCACCATCTGTGAGCTGACTGTCTAGAAAATGTGGGAGCCTCAACATCTCACAAACCTATGGGCCTCCATTGCCTGTCACAAGGATAGCATTTCCTTTTATTTGTATTCACTTACATCAGTGTTCTACAGTGCTGTTTGCTGTACTATGTTTCCTTGCTGCCTCTACATCCTTCCAAGCCACATTACATGTGAGTGGATGATGCCTCAGCTGCCAGTTCTAGTGAAGGTCATGATAGTGACAAGCTGCTATTACAGATTTAAGTAAAATGAGGACATATGAGGCTGAATACACCCTCTAAGACCCCTAGAGATGACAGTAAACGTTTTATAAGTGCTGAGTTTTTTGTGGAGGTCATTATTGAGACTGTAGCCTTCCTGATTATGATATTTAATCTGATTAAGTATATTTGTATCTTCCACTGACGTGAATACCAGACATATGCTCGAAGTAGAGTCTACGTAATGGTAACTTAATGGTCTGGGTCATTTACTGATGACCAGGCCCCAGATTTTGATGACATGTCATCTTTTTTTCCTTGTATCCTATGCAATGTTCTTAAATATGTAAGTCTTGGATACGAGCTGTTGGTTACAGAAATGTAAATTTTATAGGTAATTTTTTGACGTGTTTAGGTTTAAGGTCATTTTTTCATTTTGGGGGTAATTTTTTTGGTAAATGTTTGGACTTTTAATTGTATTTCTTGTGTTTTCTGAAATGTGAATAACATGGAAGTGAAGTGTTCTTTCTTCTCTCTTTTAGGTCATTTTTCTGGATTTTTTCAGTCATTTTATAGGTCATTTTTTTAATATTTTCAGGTCATCAAAATCCAGGCCCTGCATATTACATTTTTGGGTCATATTTTTGGTAATTTTTCTGGGTTTTTTCGGTCATTTTATAGGTCATTTTTTAAACATTTTCAGGTCATCAAAATCCGGGCCCTGCTGATGACCCCCCCTCATTCGCATATGGATTATACCTTGGCCTTCACAAAAGGGTCTTCCTGTCACCTCCCAATTCCAGTTAGCAGTGGACCTCTTCTGACAATTCATGTTCACTATTTCTGTTAACTATACTTGATTCTCCTTCCCCCACATCATCACTCTGCTCACTTCCCTGCAGATGGAGGGACAGAATATTTCCTCACAACACTAGTGTTCACTCATACGGCTACACAATGTCACAACCAAGAAAACCATGGTCTGAGTAAATGTGTTGTATGTAGATGGTTGTGCAATCTTTGTGTGTACTTTAACCTGGATCATACTACACCTGCGATAGACGTGTATGTGATAAACACACACAGTTAGGCCGTTGCACTCTTGTAATTCACACTGTCTTAATATGGCAAATTATTTGTCCATTTATCACCATGTGGCTATGTTGGGACTTTACCCACTAGGCCGGCCATTTCTGCACTGGAGTATGAACTTCTGCATTTGAATCAGAAATGGAAATCAAGTACAAAACAGTGAGCAGTCACTGTATGTTTCGACTCTTTCAAGCTTCAACAAGCTACACTTAAAGTTCATCTGCATCTGAATGACATCTGTGGGGGGGAGTATTTGTAGAAATAAAGGCAACAGCCAGTCACTTGATGTGACTGGGGCTGTCAAGCAGTAAACTTGATTGGCAGTGAATGTGTTATTTTCTTTGTTTTCATAAACTTCTGTAAGTCTTTAGATAATATCTTAAATCGCCTTTCTCTCTTCTTTTCTGAAGATATTCTGGCTTCCTTCTGTGGTCACAAGTGCATTAGGAATTCCCTTGCAGTAAGCCACAGCTGAAACAGGCTGCTCATCTACTGTAATTTATCCAGTTGTTCACAAAAGATAAAATAATTGTGTCTGGTTCATCTTCTAGAAAAGTGCTTATACAACACTCCAGACTAGATGCTATACCATTCTTAACAGAAACATCATGGCTATATTACTCAGAAACACAACAGTCACTATTAAATATATGTCTGATACTTGTGTCCATAAACAACTTAACATATTTGGTTAAGAACCATGAACCTTTTCATAATCAAAGTATCACTTTCCCTTTAAGGCCTGAAATTAATCTGAATAATATTTAAGAATTCAGCTCTCACCTCAGAGAAAACACAGTGCTTCTCATTACAAATTCCAAGGAAATAATCAGTGTTGAGGTATGAGGGTCTCATGGTGGTGACTGTGACGCATGATGTCATGCAGCCTGGCAAATCTTACCAACATTTCAGAGGAACCTGCTATTGCTGTCTTCAGAATAGAAGAGTAAGTTGAACTTGGGAACAAGTGATGCTGACATAGGAAAAGAGGATGGGCCTCTGATCAAAGCAATAAGATACCAAGGGATCCGGTCCCAGTGCGCTGTCCACCCATATCCATACCATTTTCCCACACTCAGCATATTCTCTTAAACTGAAGACAGAGGCAACAGGTTCCTTTGAAACGTTGGTTAAGCTGTACCAGACTGCATGGCATCATGCCCCAGAAGAGAGCAATCTTCATTGTCAGTGTTTATTCTGACAGTCATATGAAACATATTATAATCACTGTGATTTAAAGGGCTGGGTGTACTATCACCGTCAATCCTCTTTATGTTGAGTGAAGACAGTCATTAGGGTCCCAAATCCTGGCAGATCATTTCAGAGCATGTCTGAAGCTGCAGTTTAGCTTGCTTTGCTTTACCTTCTTGTGTTTTACTTGTTTTCCTCAGGAAATTTGTAAGTGGTGACTGTTCTGTGTAGATAAAACCAGAACCAGTAATTTAACCCGGCGGTTAATATGAGCGTTGTGCAAATGAAATGCATTTGGGGATTGTTCTGGGCAAAGGAGTAAATGCTGTTAAAAGTTGTCTGTATGAGCACTGAGGCTGGCATCCTGCTGATGTATTAGTGAACAGAACACCAAAGGAAGTTCCCTGGGCTGCATTGCGACATTCCTCATATATTTGGCTTGTTTATGGAAGGTATCCAGTGTGAAGCTCTGTTGGAACAACAATGATACTTTTTTTCTTCCAGGCGAATTTGAAAAAGATTTTTTCTAAATGTNAAGGGTAACGCTTCCTTTCTGGTAGAGAATCGTTTCTAACAGTTCTCATGTTCATCTCCACGCTCTTGCAAATCACTGTTCACCTTTACATATGGCTCATATAGTTCTGATTAGAGGTTGCCGTCTAGCAGAAGGGCTGCAGATGGTTTCTCTGTACCAATTAGCTCGTCAAACAAGGTGTGGTTTTGCTGTGGAGGTGATGGATCATCCAGTGTTGTCTGAGCAAATCTCAGTGTAGCATTGGCTAATTCCCCCACCGTCCATTGCCGATCAAGCAGCACTCGACATACTGTGTCTAGCTGCAGGAGAAAAAAAGAGATGCCGCGTTAACTTCTTCCACAGACTTAGATATGATAAAGTTCAGAGCACATTCATAACATATTTGATTATTTTATTCAGTTTCAGTCTCACAATATACAGTATGTATAATGTATGTATGTATGTATAATTCTAGGATTACTATATAGTTTCTACATTGCAATATGTTTCGGCCACTATTTTTGGCCATCATCAGATAGTACTTATATAGTCACTCTCAACTCTGCAATTCTCCCCTCTACTGGCTGATGTACTCATATACTACTGGAGGAAGGTCATGTTGTTTACAATGTAAGTTTTCAGTTGTAGACCTGTACTAATACTGTAAATTATATAAACCTTTGCTTTAATGATTCCATGTTGGCAAAAAATAGTGGCTGAAACATGTTGTAATGTAGAAACTGTATAGTTATCCTATAATTATACATATATTGTGAGACTGAAACTGAATAAAATAATCTACACATAATATGATGCTAAAATACAATATTACTATGACATCTGAGATTTTCACAGCAATGAAGTTCAACATAGTTGTCTTTGGGGTTATGTCTCTGTGTAGTCTGATAAGTACCAAGTGCCATTTAATGATGTGACTGGTTCAAGTGTTACTGTTGTAGCAGTTATGAATGCCAAATTAAATGAATGAATGAATTCTGGAGGAGCCTACTGCCCTCCCTCTATCCCGAAGGCGGAGGAAGCATGTTCCTCCCAAGTGCTGGTACTCACCAACAAGACTACATGGTCATGAACAACAGCTATGTTGTCTGCTTACTTTTACTGATGCTGCTTTTGATACTAAATTCCATGTGTTTTAGTCATGAAAGTTCTGACAAGTATTGAGGGAGAAGTAAGAAGGGACAGACTGAGCAGCTGGCTCAGGTGGTAACTCTTCTGAATTGCCTCTAGAAGCTGCCCAGTTCAAATCTGACCCAGGACACTGACTATCCTGACAGAGGTTTTCTGTGATTTTTCTCAGCTCCCTCAGGCAACTGCTAGGACAGTAACATGAAATCAGGCCATGACTGCTTCCTTTCACTAATCTGCTTACTATTCAACACTATATAGTTCAGATATTGACAGCATAATAATATAAACCATAAATAGATAAATAAGAAGGGACACAATTTTAACTGAAAATTTTAAAGAATCTGGAAATCAGAATTTTTTAACAGAATTAGAAGAGAGTTTATTACAGTGGTTTGGTCATGTAAAGAGAATAGATAGAATAAGGATACCAAAAAGAACAGGTATAATTAAAATTTAAAGGACTGAGAAATATGGTATAACCCAGAAGAAGATGGTTTAGCCAGATACTGGAAGGTATCAAGAAGAGAGGAAAGAGCTAGCAAGTAAATGAAGAGGAAGGATCATGGGAAGAAAGAAGATTGGAGACTTTTTATCTGTCCACCGTTATAAAACATAAACATACTGGAAGAAGAAGTCTCAGAAGTGCCAGGGTAGGACATCACCTGGTTCAGTCTTACCTTGAGAAGTCGGTGGTGGCCACAGGTATAGTAGTAAAGGCAAGGCACACCAGCGACACTGGCAGCAAGCCACTGAACTACCAACTTGAGCTGTGGATCGCCAACCTGTGATGAACCACAGCCCCAGTTACCAGTGGCTACAGGGCGTATTCCTGTTGCAGACTCACTTTGGTTTGCAACCCCACTCAACACTGCTGCCTGAAAAGTGAAAGGAACTGAATATGTAAATATAATTAACAAGGCTGTCAATGAAAAATTTCCTGTGACAAAGATTTTAGGTTGTCACCACCTCTTCTTCATTGAAGGGAATGGACAATGCAGTAACATCCCCATGGTGGGTCCTTATGAGATTTGGTGTTCTCATAGTATTTAATATTATGATCATGGCCTTCTGAGATGTGACACCATGCTTCTGCAAGGAGTAGAGAATCACATCCTATGAGACCATAACCTTGAGTCAAATAACAATTTCTTTCTTCTGTGTACACTTTGAAACTCTGCTTGTAACATGATGGCTATCCCAATGTATATGAATGTACAGAAGCAGTGAAATAACAGTCAATTCTGAACACATCTTCACTATAATGACAGATAAAAAGGTAAATCTGTCCCTGTAACAGGTCGTGGAGGTGCTTAGGGTCATGAGACATTGAGGCTCCCACATTTTCTAGAGAACTGGATCACAGATGGCAGTGAGGTTGTCACCCTTATGCTCTGGCTGCCCTTTACACCCAGGAAGATTCCTGGTACTCATTTCTTTTAGAGGCTAAGTCGACCCCAGGGCCATAGTGTGGCTGGAAGGATTAGGTCAAACTGAAAATTCCAGTGACATCAGGAATAGAACCCATGACCTTATGGCTTGTAGCAGAGTGCCTCAGCTAACTACTCTGAAGTGTGCCCTCATCATGATGACAGCTAACACAAAAGTCACTGTACAAGAAGACTGCATTATTAAGCAGAAGAACATAAAATAAATAAACATATCATTGCTTTACAAAAGAAACACATTTTATTAAAATGCAGGCAAATAGAAGATGGCACACATTAATATCAGAGGTTGCTATTAACCTCACTTATGACATCATAGATTTTAATTCTTTACAAACGAAACATAACACTAAATAGACTCATAATCTGGACATTTCCATCATCTCATTTTGGTTAAAGAACACAGCATATCAGACAGAGCAATTTAGCATAGTAGTAACACTAGTCATCTCTGGGGAGTGCTTGGTTCTAATCTATGTGAGGATATTGGCTATTCTGGCTGAGGTGTTCTGTGATTTTACTTATTTCCTTCAGGCAAATACTGTGATAGTACCTTGAGCAGGCTATGATCACTCCCTTGCAATCTTTTCCAATTCATCATTTATCTGTCATCCTACAGTTTGATGCTATACAGTCTAGCTGTTGACAGCATCGTACAATAACCCACAGAGAAAGCACAGAACATTTCTTAAGCTGATTCTGTTCATGTCATCAAATAACAGTAAAAATCCTACCCTCTTGGGTCCACTAGTTGAAGCTAATCTCTAGCTCTGACTTGGGATAACATTGTGTTTCCAGCACTATAGTGTTAATACTGAGAAGGCACCATTACATAATTCACAAGCAGAAAAGTTGTTTCTTTAACCAAAACAAGATACTGGAAAATGTCTGATATGTGTCAGTTTGTAGCATGCCTTTGAACCTAACATTGTGACATGGAGCACATAGACTATCTGACAGTTTAATACATAATCCACAACAAGTACATATATTTTTTGGGTAAGAAGCAGCTTTAAAGAAACGTGATTGAAAAGAAGCAGCTGTGAGCATGCACCTTTCTGCTCTGTTGAGTAAGATTGGAAATTAGGGGTTTGGTGGATGGAACGAATAAAAGACATATATACAAACATGTGTCTACATTTTAAACTGATGTTAAAATATGAAGCTGAAATATCGATCCTTACAAAAGCAAAAACAAAATATAGGCAATGGCTATGAAGTCCTTGAGAAGTAATGTGGAAAAAACAAGTGAGAGAATTAGAAATAAACTTTACAAAGAACTCTGGAGTCCAAAATATGTTAACTTTGCTAGAAATGAATTTGGCCATATAAAAACTGTAAATACAACAAGGTTACTGAGAACGGTGTTAGAATTCAGCTATAAAATAAAGAGACTCATGGGAAAATTCAGAATAAGATGGTTTGTCCAGGCATTGAAAGAGACCAGGAAGAGTGAAAACTTCTGACAAATTGGAAGAGATATATTGTTACAAGATAAAAGTAACTGTAGATGTTTTGTCACTTGACATAAAGAACAAAAATAGTGGAAGAAGTAGAAGTTGTATACAAATGCTGGCACCAAGCGATGTTAAAACTCAAGGGACAATGTGACACAGATGAGATGTGAAGACAGTTCCATGAATCACAGAGGTTAGTAGAGGATGTGGTCCAGTACTTACAGCCACAGGCTAGCCACAAATTCTGTAATTTCCAGTCCCTTCAGCCAGGCAGGTTAAAGGCTGTGGATTTTTGTTACCGTATCCCAGGTTGTTACTTTGCGCACACATATGCATGTAAAATATGATCTTATAGTAACACGGAGTTAATTATTCAGTTTCCAGATTGTCTGTATATTGTATCTGTAGTCTTAACAGAGTGGGTCATGCTTAATGTTAGCAGCAGAACTGTCTGATTGATGGAGAAGAAGGTCAGGATAACAGTTGCAGGACAGCAAACATTTCAACTTAGTGAAAATTGCCATCCATCTTGCTGTACAAAAACAATGATACACTAACCTCACAGATCCACGTTTTTGCTAGACGTTAACAGTCACCCATAAGCCATATGCTAACTTCCACTTTTGCTCTATACAACTGTAATTAATTTAATTTAATTTCATTCATGATTACTGATACACACCTAGATTGACAAGGAGCCAAATACCTCATTTGATAAAACAATGGGCTATGATCTGGATGGCTGAGGAATCTGGGTTTGATTCCCCACAGGGTCAAGAGATTTCATGTTCTCAACAGTGTGAAGACCACCTCTGGGCATTCCCGTTTGGATAACAATCCACTCCTCTGTTTCATCCAATCACATCTTGAATTCAACGTCCACAGAAAGAGCTGCCAAAGCCCCCTAAAATAATTAACCCTTAAGCTGGCAACTGCTGGGTTTACTGAGAGACTCGTAAACCTTTGTGATGTGTTGTCAAAAGCTGAAGTTAGACATTACGCTCCAGCTGCAGAAACGTAAGGATGAGAATATTTCCTGGCTGCATTAAGAAGTTTGGGGTATCAAAGATTTGTACCCAATCCATACAGCATGCAGTTCATGAATTTTTCTAGAGGGCATGAGGTAAACAATGAAAACTTTGAGATTCGATCCACACACCTACAAAACACAAATCTGGTGTTACTGCTATGCCAGCCTACCCTGTGCTGTAATCTATTATCATGCAGAATTTCAGAATTGTTCATTCAGTGACACTTTTTTCCTCTTGAAACCAAGATTAAAATGTTGTATGCACTACCTATTTAGAAAAATACCCAACTCTAAATCCTACTGCAAACCTTCATACTATGTCACAGCTTCTTGAGTCTGGTCCGCTGATTTTGTGTTTAACCTGTGACCCATTGCGTACTGAACCACAGATAAGAAATGAAAAATGTTGAAGAGGAGCTGATCAAGTCACCTGTATCATCTCAGCCTGCCCGTCATCAACTGTAACAGGCAGGTGGAACCAGAACTCTTGTGGCACCAAAGTTTGCACTATTGTCTTAGGGACCAGAGTAATCCAGAATGTTCGTGGGTGTCCATTGCTGTCCTCGAAGCTGTCTTCTTTCAGCAATTGTTGAGTGCAGGGAACAGTGGACTGTGTAGTAGATGGTCTCATGTATTTTACCACATCTAGTTTGATGGCACCTGTTCTATTTTAAATGTTGTCACATTGATGTCACTTAATGTAAGACCACAGGAGTAGTAGGAAGGAGTAAGCTGTTCAGCTCTTGAAAGATGTAGATTACTTCAAATTACACATTAATCATCTGACACTTGAAATTAGTCTTTTTTTTTATTGCTAGTGGGGTGGGACTAAGTCCCTTGCACTGCGGCCACTTCTGGCCTATTGTACCAGGCCCAGATGATAGGTGAGGGTGATTGTGGAGCAATTGGTGGAATGAAGATTGGCAGGGAAGCCGAAGTGCTCGGAGAAAACCTGTCCCAGCGCCACTTTGTCCACCACAAATCCCACTTGACCAGACCCGGGATCGAAACCGGGCCGCCATGGTAGGAAGCCAGCGACTCACTGCTCGAGCTATGGCGTGGCCCTGAAATTAGTCTTAGTATTTTTATTAATTTAGTTTCTATCTCACAGAAAATATTATGTCTCCATTGCAGAGACCAACTGGTTAATAATTTTTAGGGAAATAGTCATCGCTTCTTGCGAGGGTCATAGGAAAGAAAGTACATAGAACCACACCTCAGTCTTCCTCAGTTTCTGGTACTTCCTCATTTAATGTCCAGTTTCAGTGATCTGAAGTCAGTATTCCTATAGTTGAATTTTCCTTCAGTTATGACTCTCTTCAGGTTACTATTCATGTCTAATAGTCCCAAAAGAAAGCTTAAATGAGGGACTCATCGGACAAAGTGTGGGAAAAATGCATAATTTTTTAATGCTGAAAGTGATGTTACATATAGTCACCAGTGTGCTTTAAAAGTTCAAAAAGTCATTTTAAAAACTGATTATGCTTCCAAATGGACTGAATATCAGTTTGCAACTCACCAGCTGGGTTGTGAGTCTGTGTTTGTGTCTGGCAAGCTCAAGACTTAGAGATCTTGCCACCAGGGCAAGCTTTGTCTTGTTTCTCTCTGCCTTCATTTGTCCCAGCGGACCTTGCTGGCCCTCAGTGAGAGGAACCCCAGCGAAGGAGTCACTGAGAGTTCTCTTCAGCAGACTGCCAGCAAAGCGTACCACAGCAATGTCTCGAGCATCCAGCTCCCGGTTCTCATCCACATCATCCAACCAGCGACTATATTGTTCATACAGTTCCTCCAGTTCTGCAACACACCACACGCCAATGATACTCATGTGCTGCTTTGAAAACAGAATTTCATGGTATAACGTGGAAAGCTTAGCCAGTATAATGCCTAGGCTACAGGTTATTTGACTATTCACAGAATAGTTCTTTAAAGATCAATTTGATATTATCCTCCCATCTGTGGCTAGATTTCCCTTGAAATTTAGGTAAAGGTAAAGTTGTGCTTAATTAATTCTATAGCACCTGATAATACATGTACTAACAGGAGTTAGTATTACAAAGTTCAAACAACAACAACAGGAAAAGAACCCCAAATAAACTTCAACAAACACAGAAGAATAAATAGTAAAATCAATAACACAGTGTTGAACTGAACATCAGTCTTAATAACAATATTGGCTGCAGGTCTAATTTTAATTTCAGTGTTAACCAAATTTAAAATATGTTAGTAATTTTAAAGTTGTGCCCCTTTTTACCTATACTGACTATGCAACTGGCAGTGTATCAATTCATGAGACATATAAGGCATATAACCACTTTAAAATAACCATGTAATGGTTGAAACATGTTGCATTATGAACTAACAATTTCGTATCTGGTGTGTAATGGTGACCTTATGAATAACTGGGAAACAATTAGACAGTGGAACATCACTGGTGTGTTGCAAGCAAAAGATGGATAAGCATAACTCATGTAACTAACCTTCAGCCAGTATAGTATACTACCTATTATCCATGTACAGATTGTCTGCTTTAAGTTATCTGTGGGCTATTTTAGGAGCGTCTGCAACATTGTGGAGCACTTATTAATTTCACTCAATACTTTTATCCATTTGTATGTGTGAAATAACTTGAGAGGTGCTGAATTGATTTTCATGAAATTTGATACTGAAAAAGTCTAAAAAGAATTGTTGAACCAAGTCAATTTTTATTTTTACTGAATACTTGCAATGACTGTGTTACATGAAAACCAACTTGCATTTCTGTATCTCAAGCATAATTAGCTAAATATTTATCAGAGCAAAAAAGGTTAATGCAAACGATGTAGAGAAAAATAATTCACATAATTTATATTCTCCATCCATTTTCCATAAAACTTACAGTTTTTGAGATAATTGAACAAATTGGACACTGCTCATACATTTCCATGCAACCATCATGGTCTCCTGCTTTCCCCCTTCATTAGCGCAAATAATCAGTTACATATTCAAAGAATGTGCCAGTTACTGCCATTCACATCTCTGAGCAGTACCAGTAGCAGCAAATGTATGTTGCCACACCTGAACTGTACTCCGTACTAAAACTGAACTTGGAAGAATCAGATGTGTCCCGTCGACTCAGAGCTCCGGGTCTTTTATTTCGAAACTTGTCAATCCATTCTCTCTCTTGCTGTAAAGATTCCCTGAGGAACTGATCATCCAGTGAGTCCTCTTGAAGCATGAAGCCTCTGGAACCCCCTCGTCGCACTCTGCCAAACATCAAAATACATTAATGAAGAAAATACTTTTACTGAATCTATGTTTACATGACCCTACTGCATCTGTATATAATATAGAGAAACCAATATCTATGTTGGCCACCTGTGATTCCACTCAGACACAGTCAGCTTAAGCAAGTGGCCAAATTAGAGAATCATTGTTTTCTTTCCAGTACATCTATAATCCTACCATTCAGCACTAGATAAACTGAACACTGACAACACTGTTAAGTAGCACACACACTTAATATTATCCTTTTTTTCTATGTCTTGGTCTGTCAAATGGTCTCTTGGAAAGATAATTGATTAAAACTGATTGTTTACCTGATATCTCCATCTGCTAATCCTGACCCAGCCACGCTGATACCAACAGCATAACTCGAGTCAGTTGTCGAGGTACTCTGAGTCTCCCTGCAAAGAGCATCTCGCAATCGCTCAGCAAATGTTGAGCGTCGTTCTGGAGTGTCCAGCTGTGCACTGTAGCGCCGCACATCTTCACTCTCTGCGAATGGATTTGATGTGACATATGATCTGTGCTGCTTGATTTCAGAAGAGTTCAATAGCATAAAACAATTTGCAATATCTACATATAATTATTTAGTGTAAGCAGGGCAGATCTTTTCTCTGTGTGGTTGCGCCATTTCTGTGAGACACAATGCAAAAATAATCACAGTCATTTGTGACAGAATCAGAAGAAGATCACAATTAATGGCAGTGTTTCAGCTTGAATTACTATGTACTCAGTACTGCAGTGTCATCGTTTACTGAAAGAGTACTTCTAGACAGTTATGTTTATTCCATCTACCTGTATTTCCTGAACTTTTTAAGTTCATAACACTTACATATTCAGTGAGAATGTGATTTCAGAGTATGCCTCAAAGGCTATAGATCAATGGAAGGGTCATCTGGCTTCATTAAGGAAGATACAGAGCACAAATTGTAAATTAAAATTTCCAGTTGCATATAAGCACTCGTAGCCAGGGTGTCCTTTGTTGAGCATTTGCACATAATCAGTTTGACGGAGAAATTCACTGTTATTTTGGAATTCAAATGTTTATTATTGTCACAATAAAAGCATTCCGCTGGACACTATCCTGAGCAAAATCAATCAATTTTACGTGCTTGGAAGAGAGTTCCAAGACACTTTAAAATACAAGAGACACAGCAGGAGTTGCCTGCAATGTAGTTGCAATTGTTGGTACACCTTCCATGAGACACAAATACTGAGTGCAACATGAATAGTTTTCCCTAGTTCTTTGCCAGTAAGATGTGAACAGTGTTATTTATTTGTGTCATTTTTGTATGAGGACTCTGGTGGCACTTGTACGACTCCAAAAATTCTGAGAATGAAAAATATGATCATGAGTTTCACATGACTTGGAGCCAACAGTGGATGTGCTGGCAAATACTGGCAGAAATTTACCAATTGAATGACTGATGATGTCTTCTTCTGTCACATCACAGATGATAATAGTTTGAAATGTACAAAATTGTTATTCTTTTAGTTCAGTTTTCTCCACCCCCCCAATTTATTTCACTTTTATGTCCTCATGCTACTTCTTCTCTTCTTGGGGACTCTGCCACATCCCCTCATTTTGATGCAGAAGCATATCCAGTTGTTTCTTATGCATATTAACAAGTTTTGGCTAATACATTCCACACAAGGCTGTCTCATTAGTCTCTTGGAGTGGATGCTCATTTTTTCATACATATCTGTGGCTACAAGTTGGAGGTAATCATCCAATTTAAGGATGGAGAAATCAGCACGTAAGATGTTAACAATTGTTGTTGTGGGATATTTTCCAGTCATCCTTAGGCCATTATTTTCTATCACCTAAAATTTGTTTACTTTATATTTGTTTGTATAGTTCCTGGTGAAGTCTGAAAGTCATGTAAATAGTACATAAATATCTCATATCCTGCCTTGCAGTAATCGCTATGTCCCCATTATTAAAATAGGCCCAATAACATTCCCTTCAATGCACATTTCTGCACAGTACATGAGAGTGTATTAGTGTACTGGGAATAATTTATTGCTGTTTAGGTAGATGATCGTTGTTTATTGTGAGAATCATATGAAACACATAAATACACTGTGTGGGCAGATTGCAAAGTTCTCTTGATATTAAAGCAGGTGGTACATGTACTTGCTACACTACTTCAAAGCGTTAATACGTTAATATCCATTTTCAGATTACTGTCCAGTGTATGTTTGCCTTTCTTAAGATGTCTCTTTATGCTATGATCCAAATGCTGCAATACTAACCATTCTCTTCAGTGTCAAGACTTGTACATGCACTGTGAAATTCTTCGGATGCTGCCGAGGTGGAATGACAGCTTGAATAGAGACTGCTTGTCCCCAAAGGCTGTCTGCTGACAGGGAGACATTCCCCTGATGAACCCAACACAATGAACCGACCACGACGACTGCTAGGGCTCGGAGGCCTCAACCAATCTTTTTGTGGGGCAGAAGATTCCAGTTGCTGGATGGCTAGTGATTCAGGGGAATACATCTTTTCCTCCTGCTGTCAAATAAATATATTTTCTTTGCTATATTTTAAATTTCCAGCATGACCTTTCCCTGAACCAGTGTTGAGAAACTGTGGTTGTACAAAAGCTTTGACAGCAATTCTAAACTTGGGGTACATGAGACATGTTTCATGCATTGTCAAAGGGCCCAAGAAACTGTCTTTGCTATTTTCCTTTGTACAGATTTTCCCACATAACAAATCGCTAATGTTTGAAAAGTATTACCTATTAGGATATGATGTTGCATATTCTGAAGTTTATTGAAGGTTCAAAGGGACATACTGCCTCTATCATCAGGGTAAAAATAAAGCTGAACCAAGCCAGCAGCACTCAGTGAAGGAAGCAAACATGCTGCTTGCTTGGTGCACTCATTGAGTCAGCAGATGGAGGCAGTTCACTTCTCTGAGATGCTGGTAAATTTGTATCAGATTGTATGGTACAGTGTCACTCACTGGAAGATACAAGACTTCATAGGCACAGCCATGAGAACCTCAAATATCACATATATAAACTTTATTTAAAATGAGAATTTTGTATACTTGAAGAGTATAGTCTTCTGGGCTATAATGCTATAGGGTTTGGATAGAGCCTGATATTGCAGAGGAACATCACCTCCCTCTTCAGGATCAGAGAATAAGCCAAGCAAGAAATTAGGAGAAGCAAGCTTAGTATTCTACTTTTTATCTTATGTTTTTAATACATATCACAGTTTTAGATTAGGATTAAGTCGCCACTAAAAAGGATTACGGACTATACTTTAAGGCCTCCTCAAGTATGTGTATGAGGAAAAGTGAGAAGTATGGGCAAGAAGTAGCAGGGCAGTGGTTGCAGCTGTATTGTGAAAGGAAGTGATGAAGGCTGACACATAAATAACTAGGGTTCTGTTATAATCCGTATATTCTCTGCAATCCTGATGTCAATTAGCGGACTACCAAATCCACTGGACCTTCTGTTGAGAATAGCCAGGTCTAAAAGCATGGACACTACATGTATTTTCACCCTGAGATCAAGGAATGCATGAAATTGTAATGGTTAGGAAACTCTGGTTTATGATAATGGTCTAATATTTTCCTAGGAATATTTCCTTTGGACACTGTATATTGTCTGAACCAAATGTACATGTATGTCATGTCGAGTGTTGGTCTTTTCTCAGTCTTCATATAGAAAGGAACCCTATTTTCTCCAGTGATAGGAGTAACTTAAAAGATTAGGTCACACAAAATGAACAATATATAAAGAATATATGACAGTTGGGAAATTGGTTGGTGGATGGCACCAAGTTTCACTTCACAGTTCTATAAATGAAGTATTAGTCACTTTCCAAATTCAAATAATGAGCATCTCCCCTGAGCTGTAATGCTCGCATGACATGCTTGGTTTGAATCTTGACCACCTCAACTGAGAATTTCATAGTTTCAGTGACACCAACTGAAACTACAGACTATAGTTTGAAATATGTTATAATCCTCCTTTAAAAATACTCGTATGTTTCAAGACACCCATGCATGCATAACCTATATTGTTGAATCAGTATCCTTAAACAACATGCAAATCAGTTCATTATGCATTAACTTCAAAGTTTATTTTCTATTAGTAGCAATGCAAGTAGTTCAGAAACTTTCATCATCCCATTTGCTACCTAAGGACATAAAGATTAAAATACAATATGCAGAGCTATGGGTGGGAAACTTGGTCTCTCACATTAAGGGATGCAGACAGACTGGGGATGTTCGAGAACAGGGTGCTGAGGAGTATATATGAAACTACAGAAGAGGAAGCAACAGAAGGACGGAGAAAATTGCATTCTGAGATGTTTCATAATTTGTATAATCCCATCAGATATTATTAGGTTGATGAAATCAAGGAGGATGAGATGGGTGAGACATGTAGTACACATGGAAGAGAAGAGAAATGTATTCCAGATTTTCTTCAGAAAATCAGAAGGAAAGGGAACACTTGGAAGACTTATGCACAGATGGAAGAATACAATTAAAATGGATTCTAAGGAAATAGGATGGGAGGTAGTGGACTGGATTCATTTGGCTCAGATTAAGGACTAGTCATGCAATAATTCATATTCTTGTTTCATAAAGTTGAGGAATTTCTTGACCCCATGAACAAGTATTTGCTTAAGCGCTATGCTTTATGGAGATAGCACTTCAGTTAGCAAACATACCTTGGACTGTTGCTTTGTAGAATCACCCTCTGGAGGTGTGGAGCTGAATGACTCCCCAATGGGGGACAGACGCCTTGTGACAGGCTGGGATGGCTGTAGGGGAGCCTGTTGCTGAAATGCAAGCAGAGCCTTGTTCATCTCCCGCAACATATTGTCCTCCTCGAACTGACTGAGAGGCAGCCGCAAGTAGTTCTCTGCGTCCATACAACACACTGACCTCTGTGACCAAGCAATTTAACTCAATTTGTAGCATATTTCGAAGGCTTCTAAATTTAAATTATCCTAAACTCTATTTGTACAATATTTTCATAGCTTCTAAATTGAATTTTGTCTTTACCTTAAACTATAGAATATTTAGAAGATTTAGAAGAAATTCAGTAATAGCATTTAATGGTATTTGTAGCGTATTTGGAAGGCTTCTGAAATTAATATTATCCTTAACTCAACTTTTTGTAGTTTTCAAATGCTATCAAGTAAGAAGCAGTAATTACTTACCAAATTCTAATAGACTGGAACTTCTAATTGATAGTGTCCACTATTTATTTATGTATGTAAGGTATATTTAACTGTGGTGTCAGTAGTTCAGATCTTGTGGTACAAAATGGTATGATGATCAGTGAATGATGAATTGGAAGGGCTGTAGAAGGACAGAGTCATTGGCCATTTTCAAAAGGTTATCCTGGAATTAGCCTTGAGGGACCAAGGAAAACCATTAAAACCTAAATCAGGATAACAGGTGTCTGGGCTGGATGTTTAAACTGGGACCCCCACAACCAAGAAGCCAGGATAGCGTAATCGGTATAGGCACTGATTTTGGGCTGGACATCTGAGTGGTTGGAGTTCAAGTTTTAGTAGGGTCAAGAATTATCCATCGTCCTAGCTTTATCTAAAAGCACGGTAATATTTATATTACAAAAGAAGCGCTTCAGACAATCAGTGTTTTCATGATCTACAACATAGAGTAGTCAGGAGAGTATAAACAGTTAAAATGCAAAAAAAAAAAATCATTTGGGATGTACGGATGTGACACATGGTCCATGACCACAAGGGATAAAATTTATGTTAAATACGTTAGAAGGGAAGATTTTGAAGGAGTATGGACCAGTGACTGTGAAAAGATTTTGGAGAAAGAGAACTAATCAAGAATTGAAAGAATTAGATAAAACCCTTGATCTTGTAGCGGATATTAAAAGGAGAAGATTGAAATGGTGGGACATGTGATTAGAATGCATCAAACAAGGATGGCTACAACAATTTTTCAAAGTAAGCCAGAAAGTAGAAGAAAAGTGGGAAGTCATAGATTGGGGTAGAAGGAAGATGCAGAGAATGATTTATGATAGATGAAAATGCAGAGATAGGGACCAAAAGTAAATAACAGAGAAGAATGGGCATCTGTCATGAAAGAGGTCAAGGTTCGTAGATGACCATAGAGTGGAGGATTAGGTCAATAAATAGCTAACTAAGGATAACAGACGGAGATTCTCATTGGAGACAGACCTACTACATAGAGTAGTGGCCCCACTGTCATGAGCTACAGGTACCACTAGCACAGTTGATAATACTCATACATGATACAGGCCCCTTGCGGTGGTTGCAGAAGAGTATTACAGACTCAACTGGGGTGAAGACAGTCTTGCTACGGAAGGTAATCCTGACCGAAAGTCCTAGTCATGCTGGCTGTGGGTTGTTGGGAGCCTGATAAGCTTCAACATAGAAGCTGGAACAGGCAAGTTAGCCATGTGTGAACAGAATTATTGAATGAATGGCAAACTTCATGGAACAGAGTCTTCTTGTGATGCTAACAGTCATTTAAATAGGGAAGAAATTTTCTGTCATTTCTGAAAGCTAACAGTTTGTTACCATGTTCACAGGAGCCTCACCACTGAACATTATTCTAAGCCACATGAATTGGGCCCACAACCTGATGGCAAAAAGTAATTAAAATTGGAAATATTTGCTTCTAGTCTACAATGTACAATGGAGGACATCTGCCAGTTACACACCATCTGTGTCTGCTGCAGAGGTTCAAAGTTCGCTTTGTTGTGTGGGTCTGAGATGCGGGCCACTTGCATCAATCCATCCACTGACAGAACCTCATTGTCCTCCAAGGCTTCCACATGTGGCAGTATTGCCAACAGCTCAGGCTGGATGCAGAACTGCACACACTCCTGTCAAGCACATATTGTGTTCAATTGTGTAACTGAGTCTGTGTTATTTAATTACTATGATAAAGTCTATTGATATTTGAGCAGGATCCTCCTGCAGTTATCAACACCATGCCTGGTCACATTTCTTTGTTACCTTCTCATATGCATAATTTAACTGCATATGTATCACAAGAACTTGGAATTTTTTATTAAAGATACCAATTAAAATATACCTCATACTTAAAAATGAATTTGTATTATTTTCTTTAAATCAGTGTTTATATTATATCACATCATATCATACCATATAATATACCACACCATCAGGGCTTGAGGTGGGGCGGGATGCGGTGGGATGGCATCCCGGTTCTATTTTCATTCCACCTCAAGCACTGCATACCATATCATATCATATCATATCATGTTCTAACATACTGAAATATGCTTTTAAATTCCTGATAATTGAGACAGTATGAGGGCTGGGAATTAAATGCTGAGACTAATTCTGTATAAAGGAAATTATTGTCCCTAAACTTTATTATATTATAGGCAAAATGTAACAGTTGCAAGGATAATTTGTAATTATGGGGACATGAATAAAATGGTAGATCTCATACAGCGTCTTTCCATTTCCTCAGTTACAATTTGGACTGGCCTGATGACTGTCTTCTGAAGGTCATGACTGCCTCTCTGTATGTGACCTAATATCGGTTCCTTAGATACTGAACATAGTTTTTATAAAGACTGAGCCAAATAAGAAACTAACATGAAGCAGGCAGGAAGCAGAATTCTGCATAGCCACTGCCATGAGAACCTTAAATCCAACAGATATTTCTATAATTTCATGTGAGAAACTTATACTAAAAATTATCAGATAATTCCATTTTTCAGCCATATTTACCCCGAGTAAAGAATACTTTAAAATCCATGAGGACCGCCTCTGTGATCTAGTGGTAAGAGTTCCAGGTTACAGACCCAGAGGTACCGGGTTCGATTCCTGGCGCTACCAGATTTTTTGATAAGTAGTGGGTCTGGAACAGGGTGCACTCAGCCTCCTGAGGATAACTGAGGAGCTACTGGAATGGAAAATTAGAGGCTCCATTCTAGAGAACCGAGATTAACGGCCGTGGGAATCCGTTGCGCTGACCACATGACGCCCTCTATCTGCAAAAGTTGGCACTAACTTCGCCGACAAGCGGCGGTCACTCAGTCGAAATAGTTCGCTTGCGGACTAAAGGCCACGGAATCTTGTTTTGCATAAAGCCATACATGGATGAAAAGGTAGCAAGTAAGTGTAATAAAATACAAATAATGCTGTTGGATATTTTGTGTACTGCATTATGGAGTATACCTTTTCCAATCTTATTCCCTTTACTTCTGATCTAATTCATTTTGGCACTACAGTGGCTAATAATAAATGTGAAGCATACCAACATGGCTAAATACACCACTAAACACAATAAATTTCTACATACCAGGGAACTTCCATCATCCAGTACACGACCACCCAATCGGCTGCTGGTGAAGCACACGTGCAGTAAATTGTTCTCAGCACGTTCCAACCTGCCCTCATGTCTGATAGCAAGTGGACAAAGTGATTGGCTACTCTCTAGCCAGTCTTCAATGGTGAGCCACTCTTTGCTCGTCATCACCCGACGTGAGTATGTCACATGCCCCTGAGGTTCTCCATCTGCCTCCAGTTTGTCAAAATAGCACAAAATGCTGCGCAATTTTGCCTTCTGGCTGTTCCTGTAATAGTATTTTAGTGTATTTCATGAATGTTGGATCCAATGATATTTTTCATTTATATTTAACTTTTTCTTCAGTCTTTTTAAGTTTCGAATTGATCATCTCATGTTCAGGCACATTCACAACCTTACAGTAAGTCTATTAAATTCATTCTACACATCTAGCTGTCTTTTCCATGAAAGAACTCAAGAATATCGAAACTGAAGTTCATGAATTTGTGATTGGGAAGTTCTAATAAAACATGTAGAGACATTCCAATTTTATAAAAATCAGACACAAATACTTAGCAGTTTTTCTTCTGTGAGATGCGACAAACATTCAAACCCTGCATACTGCATAGATATCCTGCCAGTACAGGTTTAGAACTACATTTCTCTCTGTCTTCATTCTTCTGTTTTAAGTACCCTTTACTCACATGTCCAGATGTCTGAAGAAGTTTGTAAAATTGAAATCCTGGAGTGTTGGGTGGGTCTTGATGGTACGTTTCGGAAATGTAGAAAAGAAGGCATGAGCTAACAATGATGCAATGAATCCACGCTCCAGCTCCACTCGATCAGCTGAAACACATTTTTCAGTTATACAATTGTATGTTGAATAATAAATGCTATCTTGTATACACTTTATATAATACAAGGAATAGTATTTTGTATATCTTGTATATTGTGTCACAGCCAGTGGGCTGGTGCTGAGGAATTACGGAGATGTCGGTAGGTGTGATTTGTCTTGTGGAGACATATCTGGTGAGCAGAATTTTTCTTTGACTGGTTAACTAAGCCAACATCTTTGGCCTCTGTGGAAATGATTTTTATGAAGTATGGAAAATATCTAGACTAAGGAGAAGGAAGTAGAAATTATGCTGTACCATTTACCTAACTCCAGATACGCTGCAAGTAACTGTTGAGCACATTAAATTTTCACACACAATTCTATTAGTCTTTCCAGTACTCAAAAATTGAAAGTATTTTTCTTTGCATGGTTGGTGTTGGTTTCCTGTTATTATGCAGTATTTTATACTGATTATAGAATCTCTCAAATCCAACAAGAAACTCAGTGTTAACCTCTCACCTTGCTGCTGGAGGCTGAAGTGCAAGCCTCCTGCAGGTTTGAGCTGTTTGAGCTGCAGAGCTTTATGCACCATTGATGGAGTAGTCACCTCAAGGAAGTGACTCCGTTCTTCCTCTGTCATGTCAGAGTCCAGAAACATCTCCAGACCTCCAAATACAGTTAGGTCTGGCTTATCCTCATCATCTGGGTCCAAACCAATACTACAAACATCAGATTTTAAATAAAACAACTACAGATTATAGCACTTAAATAGATGAATCGAACTTAATCATAGTACTTTATATTTCCACTTTCAAATAAATGATATTTAAAAGTACTTAGGCATATCAAATATATTTCATACATCTTTAATATGCAAGAGGACTTGAATCATGTTTCATATTATACATATAACATTTTATGGAAAGCTTGCTTGCATCAAGAGAACAAGGATACTAAGAAAGGCATTAGAATTAAAACTTAAAGAAAGACAGAAATCAAGATGATTCAGTCAGACATGGGAAGAGAGGGAGGAATCAGTAACAATTGAAGAGGTATGTTTATGGAAAGAAGATACTGGAGATTTTTGTCCATCAGTCGGCGACAAGGACGACGACAGCAACAAGAACAACAATATGGCAATAAATATGGCAGCCACAGGTATGCCCCAGAATGTAGAGATTACATGAATTTCAGTTGGCCATAAGTGATCAGTTTGGGTGAGATCTGTGATCCTCACTTGCACATATTGTGGATTTTCTGCATGCCCTCAATCAGGTCCTTCGAATTTCGGGCCAACGAAAGCTGTGTAAGATGGCGCTGAACTGTGGGCCACCATGGCAGATCACATGGTAATATCACCAAAGCCATCTTCAGTCTATGCTTAAGAATTCAAGTACATCACATCTGCAAGAAGAGAGAACAGCAAAATAGAGAAGGGACTGGACTAGGGGTTCTCAGACTTTGTGGTACTGTGATACCCTAAATAATATATAAATTTACCCATCCCCCAATGGTTGAAGCCATTGATGTATTAGGATTAAAGAGAAAGAAATTCAGCACATGTATGCATATTGGTATCTGTCAACTGCAGCTAAATACCTTGAAAGCATAAACAATATATCTTACTGACTTTCCAAAACTGTGGCGTGAATACAGATGTATTTTAAATAGTCCTTGAGAAGCCATTGACTACCACCAAGATTAAAACCCACATTCCGTAAATCATAACCCAGGCATTAGTAGAAGTTTGATGATTTACAAATAGAAGTTTCAAACATTAAGTCCAGTGGTTCTGAAGCAACAGCAGGAATGTGAGGTGTACTTCATACATTGTCAAGCATGTTTAAAATGCCTTGAAATAGTAATACAATCCACTTCTTTTAGTGGTTACACTACTCTTTAGTGTATGATGGCTAATCCATATTCTGCTTAATTTAACAGGGATCATTATGTAACAAGAAAATACCTATCTACATAAGGGGATTCAGGAAAGGCATCATGATCATCATCATGTCAAGAATTAGGTTTAAAACTGTCAAGGAAACTCTGTTTGCAGAAAATTTTGGCACTTGACAGTTATTACAACTGTTCTCTATATAATTTGATACAGTTGGCAATAATTTCCACTGAACTGACGAACAATAGCCAGAATAAGTCACTTTTTGTATACCAGAAATTAGCGGAAATGCTACTTATTAAATGACATAAAGGAACAGAGGCCAGGAAAACTAAATAATCGACTTTATATATAGGCCCTTTCTTCAGTGGCTATTCTGAAAACCAAGAAACTAACACACAAATCATTTTAATTTGGAACATAATGTGCTGCAATTTTAGCCGGTCAGTTGTAATTTTTTCCGTAAAGTAATAGAGTATGAAACGTTGGCCATGGTATGTCCACTATGTACATCGATATGCAGTCTGTTGTTTGAAGAAAACAGCTTCGTGAACAAGCTCTTTATTACATACTACCATGATTCTTGAAGCACTGAACAACTGACTGTGGGAACAAGCACGACCACTCAAAGATGTGGGACGTATTTAAGAAAACAATTTTTCATTCTTGTTGGTAGTTTTATTAAAAATATTATATATTTTATAACAGGATTTATATTGTAAAAGCTGTTATGGCGTAGTTCGGCAAAGTCAGCAGATTGCTTTGTGATAAATTTAATAGTGAAGTCTCGAAGACTGTGATGACTGGGACCTGACTGAACTGAATAATGTAGAAGTCAGCGAAAGGATGGAATAATGCATTTGGTGTTCCTGATGTTCAGTAAGGTTTTCATGTCCTAATCTTAGTACATATTTGTCCAACAGTAGTTATCAGATATAGGGATTTTAAGAGTCAGTTCTACACTCAGTGTACAATATTCTGTTAGATCATACAAATGTTTCGGAGGAACCTGTGGCCTCGATCATCAGGAAGACAGGTTTCTCCAGACACTGCAAACGCTCTACCAGAATACGTGGAGTCACATTACAGAAAATAGTATTCTCCAATTGTACAGTATCTTCCTGAATGAAAACAGACCTGCCTCTTCCTATGGATATCATGTCACCTGCCAGCAGTGTCCGGAGTGCAGTGTGTAGGCCTACTGAATTTGTATGGATTGTCTAAATAGGATGAAGTGTCTAGCTACAGAGGGAAAAGTATTATTAAGGAATCTGCTACCACTGAGACTTCCTTTGTTGATCGATTCAATGCACGATTTCCATTCGGAATAAATTTGCTGCTGTTTTCAACTGTGTACATTGCCTGGTATCATGAACATATTACAAACAAACAAAAAGAACTCAGTGGTTTTAGTCCACGAATGAACTATACTGACCAAGCAACTGCCGCTTTTCGCCGAAGTTCTGTGGTCTGGTGATCAAAATTCCTGGCTACAGGTCCGGGTTCGATTTCCGTCGCTACTAGTTTTTCTGAGAAGTAATGGGTCTGGAACAGGGTTCAATCAGCCTCATGAGGATAACTGAGGAGCTATTTCAAGGAAATAGCGGCTCCGGTCTAGAAAACCGAAATTAACGGTTGTGGAGATTCGTTGCGCTGACCACGCGACACCCTCTATCCGCTAAAGTTGGCACTAACTTCCCTTTCTGTTTCAGTCCTCAGGTGAAAAGATTGGGAGATTCCTACTCACTTGGGTCTGCTAGAGAGAGCTAGTCTTAATAATTGTTAAAATTAAGAACCACTTTTTTAAGGAGCAGTGATAAATGCTGCTGCTTCATATAATTAGTAACGTATTCTAACTGCGCTGTGCTGTGCCGGACTGCCTGCCAGTTCACTGCACAGTTCTGTAACCTCGAAGCCAGCAGGCAGCACATGCAGCCATAGTTCCTTAACATATGAGGTCATCCTTAGTCCGAATTATGATAGGCCTCAATTCTTTCGTAGCCAGTGCTTACCGCAACTCAGTGACTAAAATTTAGGAGGTTATTTTAGAAAAGGAGGCGGGGTAGCTCAGTCAGTGTATTGACTGTATCAAGGGCTGGACTACCTGGGATTTGGAATTCGAATCCCGATAGGGACAAAGATTCCTCTCTTCTAGGCCTCTAGACCCGTTCTTGGGCCCAACTATCATCCTCTCCAGTGAAAGTAGGAGCTCTTTTCTCCGGGGTGAAGTGGCCAGGGTGTGAAGCTCACCACTCACCTCCGTGTAATGCCGAAGTTAAGAATGCGTGGAGCTATAACGCTGCTGCTCCTTACGTCATGCAGCTTAATTAAATACAGAGAGAACTTTATATTCATTTTTACGCTTTGTGGGGAAGTCGTGTACGTCTATCCCTTCATAAGCTTCAAATTGCAAAACTAATATGTTAATGCGAATGGAATTTTGTAGGGCTGTAGTGGTCGGTAGGGAGAACCGACTGCCTGCAGATGGGCTCAGTAGGATCCCTGCTAAAGTAGCCCCTGTGCATAATGAAGCACCGTGCGGGTGGTGGAGGCAAAGCTACAGGCATAATTACCCTATACGAAAGGTGCCACCCAAAACTGTGCTGCGAACGCAGGATGTGTGTGACGTGCTCTTGGGGCGTGTGGGTGGGCACAGATTACTAGACTTGAAGAAACTTCCGGATTCGGCGCCCAGTATTTTTCGCGGCCTGTATCAAGTACGTATTTTCGGCTTTCTGAGTTTAGCCTCGTCGTGTGTTATAGTTCTTCCAGCGCTTCAGCGTACATTGCTGTCGACATCTTCAGGGTGAGTGAGGCGGAGCCAGATGCAGCTGAATGTATAGCACAAGCGTATTGTAGCGTCTGAGACAATTCCCTGCAGATGACGTGTAGTATCTTGTCATTTGCGTTTATATGCAGAGATGGAAATGGCTTCTCAGAACTAGGTAGACGCTCCAGTTCAGAACTAGGTAGACGCTCCACTTCAGAACTAATTGCATGCTCCAGTTCAGAGCTAGGTAGACGCTCTAGTTCAGAACTAATTGCATGCTCCAGTTCAGAGCTAGGTAGACGCTCCATAGCAGCAGAAATCCCCTAAGGAATACCTATACATCGAGAGAGACCCTCCTGTTGTTCCCACGAGCCCAGACACTCATTCAGATTAATTAATGACGCCTAACGCGGATGTTCTTCTTCTCTCTTATACTTCGTGACTGATGTAGGCTCCTTGTGTAAGCCGTGCTTCATGAGTGCCATTGTTCTGGCACCAGTGAACAGACAGCAGAAGTTTCCTCAAGTACCTCAATTGTGCTAGGACTGCTTCCTTCCAAATCCTTTCCAATATATCAGTCATCTCTCATCCTTCCGCTGGACACTGTATAGTCTAGCTGCAGACAGTGCCGTGATATAACTGACAGACAACACGCGTGTTAGGGGAACCAGTGTCCTCTTAGTGGCTTCTGTGAGAAACTGAGCTTCTGCATTCTGTTCGTCGGCCTGCTGGCGACACAGGTTCCGTGGTTTTCTTCTGTCTTGAAGCTTCCCATTTCCAAGTTGCCTCTGCTGGCTTCTCATGCCAACCCTTGCCATTTAAATGCATCACAATTAAACCATTTGCGCTAGGGTCCCATAATCAATTCAACTCAAAGATGATCAGAAAATCAAAATTTGCTACCTGTTGTGAATTAACACATTTTTCTTTGAACACTGCTCCGGTCTTGGACAACTTCCATGTGCGAAAGTGGTGTGCCATGCCATCGGCCTGGCAGCCCCCACCTCTTCCTTCATCGGTATTCTCCCTGTTGACGGCGACTGCAATGTATGCCGAAACATTGGAAGAACTTCAAAAGAGGACGCGGCTGAACTCCGAAAGCCGAAATTACACTGCAGAGAATGCGAAGATTCGGTGCCACTAGAGTTCGGGAGAGGGAGGGGGCTTCTTTTTATAGCCGTGACGAAGCGAGGGACTGGCTGTTGAGCGAGCCCCAGTTCCTAAGTAACTGTTTGCTTCTCCCTGTTTCAGGCCGGGCATCGCAACAGGAATAGCTCCGCAGGCAGAGAGGGCCACAGCGATCCTGCCGGAAAGCAATTGTGTTCGTCCCACAGCTGTAACCTGTCCCCGACTCAGTGACCTTGGCGTTCAATTCCAGGTCAGCCGGAGCCACAATTCTTGCGGTTAGTATCCGCACTCCCAACACGGCAGCCCGGGTTCGATGTAGTTATTCTTGTATAAGTAATATTGGTGGAGATTACATATTATTACGTTCCTTTTTTTGCAGCTTTCTGCAGTCTTATGCTGCACCCTCCCCCTTATGTGCAAATACTGGCCCTCCTCCCTTATATCTCGTACTTCATATGAAAGGCCTTATTCTTTATGTGCTATTTAAGGACGGTCACAGTTTAGAGATTATACGAGTACAGCGTCGGGTCATTGGATGGTTGATGAATTGGAAATCATTCGGAAGGAAGTGCTCGTGGTCTATTCAAGGTACTATCCTGGAATTTGTTTCGAGGGACTGAGAAAAACCACGAAAATCCTCTGTGAGGAAAACCTGTGTCTCGGCTGAGATTCGAACCCAGTCCTTGCCGAATACAAGACCACAATTTTACCACGTTCGAAGTGTTAATGTAAATGTAATACTTTTTCGTAGTGGTATCACGCTCCTGTCCCACCTCAGTGCTTCACACGACTTCCATGTTAGTTTCGGTGAGTGATGAAATGTAATGGGAAGACAGTCGCGCCAAGTTTTGTGTAAATCGAGCAATTGGGAGCAGACACACAGACGTGAAAACTGAATCAATCGTCGAAGAGCCTTTGTTCTGGTTCATTTCATGATCTCATGCCAAGAAGTTGATTCTTACCAATAGACGTCGTCATGGCGACGGCCTGTGTCAGGTGAATCGAGCCGCCCCGACGTCTTCTCGCCCCCTCCACCCCCACATGGCTCGTCACTAGACCGCTACGCGTGTGGTACTCGGCCTCTTGCCTATGCACAACTGCCGTTCTCGCGCATTATCCTGTATCGTGTCGACACCCGTGATGTCTCTGATAAGCCGAAACTCTCACTTTGTGATAACGCTTCGCTCTTGTATTTAAATACGCGTGTTTCTATGGGCAAACTTGCAGTGCTCCGTGCAGTGTTGCACACACACCAAGCCGCTAAAATGTTCACTCAGCAGAAACTTCGACGAAACAGGGCAATTTATTTCGTGTGAACAATCTAACTGCGACAGTTTTACTGTTCGGTTCTGCTTGAGACAGTACAAGTCTGCGTGTTTCGTCTGATTTTGTGCTAATCGCTGCAGAAGAACAGTTGTTAGACCTAATTAATGAAAATGATCGAACTCGTAACTCAAGTTTAGGTTTCTGCTTCCACCGTCAGACACAGCTTTGTGATCTGAGGTTCCCACGGCGGCGAACATGAAGATTACGTGATGTGACACCGTCTGGTCTTGTAGATCGTTACCAACACTTCCGGCCCTTGAACAAAAGCAACTAAGCGCTCACCGTTTCCTTATTTTGCTTCTCCTGTTTCCCGTTCCAGCCAGTTGGCTCCCACTCGCTCTGTCCAAGGCAAATGGTCCTCTACAGGGCCAGTATCCTGGTTCTGGTACCACTCAGGCGCAATGTGACGCCAGTGCTGAGTTGTACTATACATACATCCTACGCTAAATATCTGTTGTTCTTTTATTTTAAGCTATACACTGTATATACCTAAAAATCAAAAAGCAGACATAGGGGAAATCGAGAGCGTAGTTGGTTGAGACACTATGTTACATGTCGGAAGGTACCGGGTTCGATTTCCGATGTCACTGGAGTTTTTCAATTAACCTAATCCTTCCAGCAGCAGTATGCCCTTGGGTCGACTCAGCCTCTAAGAGAAATGAGCACCAGGAATATTCTTTGGGGTAAAGGGCGGCCGGCGCGTAAAGCTGACAACCTCACGCCCATCTGTGAGCTGATTGTCTAGAAAATGTGGGAGCCTCGACGTCTCAAGACTACTACTGAAACCTGGACATGGACCCTGTATAGGACCCAATGTGTAAGAGAATTTCAGTGGGAAAAATCCACAGCCAAGAAATGCTGCTGCTTTGCTTACTGTTCGTCTTTGAAGAAGGAGGTTCGTCGTTGGTTGGTAACGCTTTACCAGACAGCACGGTGTCACATCCACACTCATCGCCGTGAGTACATCAACTCACTTGTTAAGAATATGATCTCATATATGCTTAAGGCTTCCTATGGTTTATAAATGAGTTTAGACTCCATCGTGTAGAGTGTAGACACATGTTAAATAAACACACAATTGATATTGCACGCACGCACACTCTGAACACACTACACTGGATCAGATCATTACCCGGGCGGGGACTGTCTCTGCCGCTTCTGATGAGACGACGCCTCCGTCGTCAGCGCCACGGCGCACGCTCCACAACAGGGCGCTCCGAAGAGAGGAATCATTGCTCTACGCCGTCAGCTTTCCTTTGCTTTCATTTGTTGGTGCAGTCTGCGCGGCATTAGCTTGCTACGTTTGTTCTCGAATTCCGGCCGCGTGTAACGATTCGAGATCCCGTGAACCGATTTTCATTAAATTTGGCATTGGAGAGTGTTAGTAAAGTTCTTCGGAGCATAGCAGTTCTGGTCCAAACGGGATAAAAATAACGCCCCATGGTTCTACTCCCGTCTCGAGGTTAACTCGCAAAAAGTTTTTCGGACGAATGTTGTAGCGAAAAATTAAGCACACGTTATGTTTGCAGTGCGCTTCTGCCGTAATCTTGCGGCGTCAGGTGTAATTAGACGAGAGGGCCTGAACACTAGAGAACTGCTCCTCTGTGCATAAGCTCGTTGCTTTGAACCTCACTTAGCCAAGTAGCAGTTCACTGACGTCTGCTCGCAAAGCAAGCCAAGCAGGTAGCCACCTGTCGGAAGCAGAGGTTTCTGCTGGTTACGTGTTTGGATCACTGTCCGACGTGAAGATGAAGCCGGTACGTTGTTCCAAAGTCGGTAAAATTCTACCGGACTTTAAGGCGCCACAGCTCACATGACCACCATTGTGAGAACATTGTTACTAGGCGTTTTCGTAATGGCGGCCACTCATTCACCTCTCACCCAGGAGCTGGTACAGTAGGTCCGCTTGCGGCCGCACTGCTAAGGGACTCAGTATCACCCCGCTCTAAGGGTCGGTATAGGGGCGCATTACGAGCTGGAAGGCCGAGGATTTGCAGTTTGATACCCGACAAACGCTAGATTTATCTCTTCTCCACAGTGTCCAGACGGGCTCTGGGGCCCACTCCGACTCCTATCCAATGGATACCGGTGGTAAAGTGGCCTGAGCGTGAAGCTTACCACTCATCCTAATCTAGTGTCGAGGCCAAGAATGATGGAGCTATACCTCCACTCCCACATGTGTCTTCGTGGCTTAGTGCTTAATTATTTAAGCAGAGGGACAGCTTATTTTTGTTTGGGTTTGATCAGAGTTCAAGGTCATCTGATAAGTCTCACTCCTCTAGAGCTAAAGTTGTCCCTGTGCTTAATTAAGCACCACGATATGAAGCTTCACGCATGCTTAACCTACACGCTATGATAAATCAATGTGAGTGGTCAGTTTGACGGGAAGGAGGCCGCATTGTGCCTGGACATGAAGCGGTATTGGACCAAGGGCCAGGCTGAATGCTATGCAAAAGAGAGACACCCCGATTTCACGATTGGCTAGCCCGTAACCTAGTCTCTATACCGACTGAGCTACCGTGGCTGTCTCAGCAACACGCAGAGGACACGGACTTTACGCTGTCCCGGCCGGGCGTATAGATCCGCTGTGACGACCTTGAGGGGATCGCGGGCACACATCGGTCAAGATAGCCGTCTTGGCGACTATACTGGCTGTCCAATGATTGATTTGTTTAGCGATGCTGGATTCGTCTGAGGGACCAATAACAGGACGGTAATGAATCTTCGGGTTCCGCATAAAACGGGGATCTCAACTCTTGGCTTCCTAAGGAGGACTCAGCTGCGTGGAGGTGGTTACTTGGTTAGTCAGTAACCCAGGCTATATCGTATCGAATGAATAACTGACTGAACAAGACGCAGAAGGAAGTTGAAGGCTTATCTTCTCAGAGCTGTTCCTGCAAGGATGAACACAGGATAACCTGACAAACCGCAGTCATGACAGTCGGTCTCGGGACCAAGATATGAAACCGGTACCTCCCTCACGAAGGACTGCTTAGCGTTCCACACGGTGGCTCGGTACTTTTCACTAAGAAGATCCTAGTTCGATACTGGATCCTTGCAAAGAGAAATGACCCGAAGAACTTCATTATGAGCAACAATAAACAGTTCCGCGCCTGAATGACATGGCCTGGCCGTGCCATAGATCCGGCGGTTGGACCCTGCTTTCTCGCAGAGGAGGCCCCGGTTCAGTTTTTCTCCGAGTTTCGTTTGTTCTCCTCTGCCACTCATCGTTCCCTCATTGGTCGGTACTCAGCTTCTTGCCTTCGAGACCCTCCGTAGCCCTGGCAGGCTCCTCGGTCCCTCAGTGTGGGGCGTCTCACACCGGACAGTGAGCCATTTTGTCAGTTGGTGCGGATGTAGTGGGGGGGGGGACGAATCCGGAAAGCTTATCCCGCCTCTACTGACTGCACTCAACACAACTCCCTTGGAGATCCCTTCCACTTCAGCATTCATGCATGACCCTGCCATGTGACGCCATGTAATGAACCTACTGATAGCCCCCTAAAATGACGTACAGAAAATCATAGCAATTTTTATGTGTGATTCAACGCGGAACTGGCTTACACTGGATTGGTCCCGAGCAAACTGGCCTCGGGCTTGTTGTGTGTATTTGTAGACACCCGGTGCGTGATTGTGGCGTGGAA